CGCGTAGGATAGCCGCTCCCTATGTTGGCGTATGTTTCTATTCGTTTTGATCCGAACAGCTCCCTATGTTGGCGTATGTTTCTATTCGTTTTGATCCGAACAGACCCCCAAACCAAATTGTACCATGTAGGATAGCCGCTCCCTATGTTGATCCGAACAGACCCCCAACCAAATTGTACCGCGTAGGATAGCCGCTCTCTATGTTGACGTATGTTTCTATTCGTTTTGATCCGAACAGATATATTGTACGCCGCGTAGGAGTTTTGGCCTAAATGCGCATAACCATGTTCGCCTTTGTATTTTGGTTACATATATATATACTGATATACTACATCACATCACTCCTTTCTTATTTAGAGCTAAGGACACGAGACGACCCATCATAACGCAAAGACTATAGTAGTACGAAACTATTTGGGCCCACTTCTGTTCCCATTACAGTTTACACCAGGTCCCTTCCTGGCCGTTATCCCCCATCTACGCGCGCGCGCCACGTAGGCGGGCGCCGGCCGACAGGCGTCAACGTCGGCGCGTCCCGGTGCACGACGCCACATTATGGTCGAAAAGCACGTCGTAGCCGACGCTGGTCACGTTCCTCAAGTAGCAGCCGCCGTTGCTGGCGCCGTAGTTGTACACCTGGTGCATCCGCCACGACGCGCCGGCCACCTGGTCGTCCCGGAGCACCACCTCCGCCTCCGCCACCTGCTCGTTCCGCAGCGTGCTCGTCCCCGCCCCGCCGGCGCCCGCGTAGGACTCCACGAACCCGATCTCCACGCGCCGCTTCAGCCGCTGCGAGGAGGTGCCGCTGCCGTCGCCGCCCTGGAAGATGTAGAGCGGGAAGCTCTGGTGCACCTGCTGCGCGTACGCCCCGCCGCCGACGTCGGCGTGAGCGTCGGTGGTCTGGTTGATCACCTGCGAGCTGCCCTTGTTGCTCACCACGTTCGAGTTCGCGAAGCTGAGCCGCTGGGCGAACGTGGTGGTGATGTTGCCGCGCGACGAGCTTACCCACCCCGTGGCCGAGATGTTGCGGCTCGCCGTCGCTTGGTACTCCCCGTCGATGCCGTCCACGGAGTGCGCGGTGATGCTCCCCGACAGCTTGGGCGCGTCGTAGGAGATGAGGCCGCCGGTGGTCGGGGAGCCCTTGGGGTCGAGCCAGAGGTGGAGGTTGCCGTTCACGTACCACGAGTTCTGCGCGTTGGTCACCGCGAACCCGACCTCGTGCTCCTTGCTGTCCAGCAGCTTCCCCAAGAACGGCGTGAGCTCGATGTCGTAAGTGGGCAGATTGAACGAGCCAATGCTGGTGATTGGGCGCCAGATGAGGGGGTTGATGCCGCCGGCGTAGATCACCGGGAACGGCCACACGGCACCCACGACGTCGCCGTCGAGCAAGACAGTGACCTCGCGGAACGGCCCGTTCTGGTCCGGCGTGTTCATGTACCAGAACTCGTCCGAGTAGTGGGACGAGACGTAGACCTCGAGCACCGCGCGGTAAGCGTTGGCCGGCACGGCGACGCGCGTGGACTCGACGTCGGTCTTGTTCTGGACCACGAACCAGAGCCCATCGTCGAGAGGCAGGCTTCTCGAGACGGGGACGATCAGATCAGCGGGCGACGAGTCCGCCGACGTCAGCTGGGCCTTGCGCCGGAAGTAGAGGTGAAGCGTGAGGTTCGCGTAGTACACGCCGTTGTAGGTGTCGTCGATGAGGTTGCCGAGGTAGACCGCGAGCGTGGAGTTGCCGGCCGCGAGGAGGGACGCGTACTTGGTGACGTCCTTGTGCACGGACCACGTGACGCCGCCCGGGCGCGGCTCGGCGGTGCTGCCGCGCAGGAGCTCCGCCCCGCCGAGCCAGACGCCAAAGATGCGGTCGTACTGCACGCCGTGGCAGTCGGCGCGCCACTCGAGGACGGCGAGGGAGACGTCCCCCCCGCCGCTCAGGCAGGAGGGCGGCGAGTAGGCGGTGGTGACCGGCGGCTTGTTGAGAGTGAGCGCGAAGGACTGTGAGAGGAGGAGCGTGGAGCAGGGCCCCGAGCTCCCCCGCGGCGGGTGCAGCGGCCGGTTGACCTCGAAGAAGGTGGTCTTGGCCTTGGCGAGGTGGCGAGCCGGCAGCGCCGCCTCGACCGTGGCGACGTCCTCGGCCGAGAGGCGGAGGTGGTGCGGCCTAGCGGCGGAGAAGTGGGAGTGGGAGAGCAGAGCGAAGAAGCAGAGGAGGAAGAGGCGGGGAGCAGAGGAGGTAGGCATGGTGCGTGCACGGTTGTGTCCTCGTGAAGGCTGGAATTTAAGGGGAACATCCTTCATCAGATAGCTGAGAAATACGAGTATTATACAATATAACAATTAAAAAAGAGTACAGTACAACAGTATCTATCTTGTCGTATAAACAAATGTATTCTAGGGATATTCAGCTTTGTGAGTGCCGTATAACGGCAAAACAAAGTGGCGAGTAGGTAGGGGGAATTATGGGACTTTTGGGGGGGCTCGAATTGTCCACTAGTTAGTACTACTGTTCTACAATAATAACCGGAAAATGCAGAGTGCGACGATCACACGACCCGGAGGGGCCAAAAACAGCTGGAAACACACCTCTCCAGTTCCACTAGAACGGAACAATGAGTCAGCAACAGTGGAGCACGCAGATAATCATTCTCTTCTAAGGAAAAGAAAGGAAACAAAGATCTCCACAGAGAACTTGTGGTGGATGAATAAGTTGCGGTTGCGTGTTAGTTTATTGGAGAAACGGCCTCGGCTCCATGCTGCGGGAAGGTCCACGCGCGATGGTTTTCGTAGTTATCAGCACTGTCGGCCGCACCTAATCACAAACAAATGTAGGTGGAATCCAGACGCACATCGCCATCAGCTCCCACATAGGAGCAGTACGCTACTGGTAGTAGCTGGTACTGCCGCCCGTATTGTGCTCATAAATTTGATAGCCGTGGTACGTGTGTATTTAGATTTAGATTTTAGATTCTATGTTGGCATGCCCATGCTTGAGCCGGTCTCTTGTTGAATTGCTGTCCCTCTTCCAACGTTCATAAGAGGCCAGGTGATTGTTGAATTAATCGTTCGTTGATGAGTAAGTTGCATGTTCTTGTCTTAAAACCGAAAACTGTCTCAACTCCCGGCAGCAAGGACCAGGGGGTTGTTTTCGTAGTTATGAACACTGTCGAGAGCCATCTAAAGACACAAATGTAGGTGAATCAATGTGTTTTTTTTCTTTCAAAAAGGACCCAGTCTATTATAAAGGTATCCCCTCCGTTTTTTTTAATCTACATATACTTTTATCGAAAGTCAAAGTATCTCTATTTTGACCATACTTATAGAAACGACCTTTATCGGAAAAAAAACTTATAGAAAAATTATCAACATTTACAAGGCGAAAGGAATATCTTTATATTCATTATGGAATGTAGTTTCATATTATGTATATTTGGCATTGTAGATGTTGATATTTTTTTATAGAAATTTGGTCTAAGTTTGTAAAGTTTGAATCGACACAAATCTTATATGCGGAG